TCATGTTGTGGCCCAACCATGAAATTATTTGCGTTGCCACTTCATAACTGTAATGTTGCTACTGTTATGAATCGTCATGTAAATATCTGATATGCAGGATGGTCTTAGGCGACCCTGTGAAAGGGTCGTTCGACTGCCAAAGGGGTCGCGACCCACAGGTTGGGAGCCACTGCTCTAAAAGGAAGGGTGCAGGCCTCGGCACAACCAGGCTGCCCAGAGAGAGGCTCACCTGACTCTTTTGCAAGAAAATTAATTGCAGATAATGAGTCATGACTTGAAAGTTCCAGAAATATCTGTTTTCCCTGGACGTTTAATCCTCTGAGCACTGATCAGAAAATTAAAACCGCCACGCATGAGCAGCCACAGCCACCACTCGGCTGTGGTGGGGCCGGTGCTGGAGGAGGGCCGGGGATTGGGAGCCTGGTGCCGGGCGCCAGGACCGACCTGTGACGCCTGCCTCCTCACAGACCCTGCGGCCGGGCCAGGGAGCCCCAGCTCACTGTAAACCCGGGCTGCAGACCCGGGCTCACTGAGTCCCTGCCCGGGCCGCACTACACCCACACCTGCTTGCCCTGACGCTGGGAGAAAATGGGTCCTGAAGTGGGGCAACGACCTGGCTGAGGCCCAACAGCTGCTCCAGGGAAACCAGCCACTTCCCACCTGTAGGGCCGCCTGCCCCCCATCATGTCCCGGCCACCAGTGACGTGGGCCCTGGGCACGGACTGGAGGGGCTGCCCCTCCTTAGAGATGGGACTGGCCTCCCATGCCCAGCACTGGCCTGGGTGACGGAGTTACTCCAGGAACACACATGCACCTGTGCTTATGCACACATACTAGCACACGTGCTCACCCACAGCCACCCCTGCACACATGCTGGCACTCACACACCTCCGCACGCCTGCAGGTGCAGCACAGTCAGTGTGCCCACAGATGGGAGGGAGTGGCGAGGGCATCCCAGGCTGAGAGAGAAGGGCACAGGACTCCCTGGGTGCTGCCGGCCAGCGGGGGGGTAGGGGGGGCTGGCTAAGAGACTGGAGGAGAAAGACCAGCCCTGAGTCCAGATGGCAGTCCCCACACACCGGGAGCGCCCTTTCCGGCAGCCCCCCGACTCCCGATTCGTGGCCGGGCACCCCGGCCGTTCCCAGAGCCAGCAGAGAGACGGAAGACTAAACAACATCATCCACTTCTCATTTCCCGAAAAACCCTTTCGGCCAAAATAAATAGATGTCGATCAGCTGCTCTGTCGCCCACAGAAACACGGTCGGCTCAGAGACAGAGGCAGAACAGCCAAACGGGGGGTCCAAAATGTCCCATGAACAGGATTCGGCGAGAGCCCTGTGAGCTCAGAGCACGAGCCCCGCGTCCTCCCCCAAAGACGGCTCTGCATGACCCCTCCGTGTGCTGTTCCCTTCACTGGAGGGGAGGTCAGGACAGCAGGGTCTCAGATACACCTCCCTTCGCACGAATGTGAAGATGTCTGTTCCCCCCACATTGACACACATGTCAGAAGCAGCCTTAGCCAAATCCCCACCGATTTCTGATGGAACTGGACGCTAGGAAGCAGTCAGTGTAGAACAGCTGTGGGCAAACTACGGCCCGCGGGCCGGATTCAGCCCCGCGGAGCCGAAAGAGCAGAGGGTTCTCTTGCTCTCCCCTCTGCTCCTTCACCAGCAGCAGTGTTAACATGTATTAGTTCACACAAACACTCCATCCGTGCTTTTGTTCCGGCCCTCCGGTCCAGTTTAAGAACCCATTGTGGCCCTCGAGTCAAAAAGTTTGCCCACCCCTGGTGTAGAAGAAGAGCCAGGGCAGTTCTGGAAGATAACCGAGGTTCTGCCACGCGGTGACGGAGAACGACGTTGGAGGCTGGCACTGCCTGATGCCGACTTACCCTAAAGCCACAGCGATCCAGGCCCCGTGGTGCTGGCGGCAGAACAGACAAGGAGGCCAACGGAACAGAGCAGAGAGCCCAGGAACAGGCCCACACACGCAGTGGCTGACCTCTGACCTAGGAGCAAAGACGGCCTCTTCCCCAAACGGTGGGACAAAAAAAATGTAGACACAGACCTCACAACGGTCACAGAAATGAACTCGAAATGGATCACAGACGTAAGCGTAAAAGGCAAAACGACGGAACTTCAGGAAGATAACACGGGAGGAAACCTACGCGGTCTTGGATATGCAGATGCTCCCTGAAGGAACTGATAAACGGGGCTTCGTTCAATTTCATCTACGTTTAAAACTTCTTCTCTGCAAAAGGCGCTGTCAAGAGAATGAGAAGACAAGCTGCCAACCGGGAGAGAATATGGGCAAGACATGTGTCTGATAAAGGACTGTTGTCCAAAATATACGAGAACGCTCAAAACTCAGCAATGAGAAAATGGACAATTTAAAACATGGACCAAAGACCTTATCAGACACCTCACCAGAGAAGAGATACTGATGACAAATAAGCACATTAAAAAAATGCCCCAGAGAAATGCAAATAAAAACAACAAGGAGAAGCCACCGCACACCTATCAGAATGGCCACAATCCAGAACACGGACACCACCGCGTGCTGGTGAGGACGGGAGCAACAGGAGCTGAAAATGCATGTCCACTCAAGCACCTGCACATGGATGGATCCAGCAGCTTTATTCACAACTGCCCAACTTGGAAGCCACCACGATGTCCTTCCGTAGGTGAGCAAGTAAATAAACTGGTCTGTCGACCAGTGGTTCTCAACCTTGGCTGCACATTAAAATCACCTGGGAATCTTTTTAAAATCCTGATTTCTGGGCCTCATCCTCCGGAAATTCTGTTTGTTACTAATGTTGTGGCCTCGCCCCATCACAAAGAAACAGAATTGCCAGGGGATGAGGCCCAAGAATCAGGATTTTCAAAAGATTCCCAGGTGATTTTAATGTGCAGCCAAGGTTGAGAACCACTGGTCTAGACAATGAAATATTATTTACTGATAAAAAGAAATGAGTGATGCCTGGCTGCCGTGACTCAGTGGTTGAGCATCGGCCACGAAGGAGGTCATGGTTCCATCCAGATGAGGCACATGCCCAGGAAGCAGGCCCAATCCCCAATAGGGGGCGTGCAGGAGGCAGCTGATCAATGACTCATCATTGATGTTTCTAGCTCTCTCTTCCCCTCCCTTCCTCTCTGAAATCAATAAAAATATATATTTTTAAAAATAAACAAACAAATGAGCTATGAAGCCATGAAAAGACAATAGCTTGGGCTGCACCTGTGAGAGGCCAATGCCTCCCCTTATTTCCTTTCCTGAAGGCGCCGGAGGAAGGAAGCCGGTCCCAGTGGGCCTGGCCAGTCTCTGCCCTGGCGGCCCTGGCGGCCCTGGCGCCCTGCTCAGGCCAAGGCGGGAGGCTATTCTGGGAGCTGGTGCAGAGGCACAGGGAGCTCCTTATAAGGCTCTGCCCAGCAGCATGATGCCACGGAACCCCCCGTCTGCCCTGCCACCGGCCTGCAGCGGCCCCCTGCCCTCAGCCCGCCTCATCCCGGGGTCCAGACTCTCTCCTGTCTCCCATGATGTTCTCCTGAGATTCACACGACGTAACCGACCTCTTGGCTTTGGGGAGACTCGGGACAGACGTGGGGAGCGGAGCTGCGGGCTGGCCCTCCACATCCTTATATGATGAAGTGCCTGGTCCTGGCTGAGTCACGGCGTGGAGAGGCGGGGCCGTGGGAGCCAGTGATTTGGCTTATTTTTAGAGGCTTTTACCGGAACACCTGGGGTGGGCCCAAATAATACAAGTATTTTAGCGGTTCAAAAAAAAAAAAAATCAAATAACGCTGTTCCAAGTCATCCAAAGCGGAGTCAATGGGTGAGCTCAACGAGGCGTTTCCTGAGACGAACGGGCGAGGCCTCCTCCTCTCCCAGCGGTCCAGGCACCGGGTGGCCCCGGCTCCATCCAGATGTGTCCCCAGGAGGACACGCACCTGTACCCAGCCGCCCCACCCTTTCCGTTCTTTTTAGGAATCAGGAGAATGAGCAGTGAAACCAGGAGCAGATTTTAACTGTCTTCCCCGAGGGGGTTTATAGTTGGACCCCGGGCCCCTGGCATTGGACCTGGAACCTGAGGGCACCCTGATGGCGCTGGGTGAGGAGTGAGTAGATGAATGACCGAGCGGGCTATGTCCAAACCCTTACGGTGTGTAAGCAGCTCCACGCCAGCCGTCCCATGTCACCCAGCAGGGTCCTTCGGTGGCTGAGGGGCAGCAGGCTGTGCTCGCTGCCCAGGTGTACGGCTTGGCCAGACCAGACCTTACCCTCTACGAAGGGAAAGTCATACCACCTCCCTAGATGCCCCCTAAGTGTTTTCACAAGGACTCACCGAGGCAGGAATTGCTAGGAAGTCCCCAGGATGCAGTCAGTGACAAGGAAGAGTTGTCCCCCCCTTTGTCACTATGAAAAGCACCGGCCCCCAATTTTAGGCTGAGCCCTGTGGTGCCTGGCTGATCACGGTGCATCCCAGGAGCCATCAGAAACGTGGCCTCTGGACCAGGCAGCACTTGCTCCTCTTTCCAGCAAGGCTCTACTCTCGAAGACTCAGCTGGGCACCTGCCTGCCCAGCCCCCTTCCACAGGCCCGTCCTCACTCACCTTCTGCTAAAGTCCCCTTTGAACCAGCACCAGTGCCAGGTCCCCAGTGAATGGTGAGTCAGGAACACCTGGAAGCCTCCAGCACACCTGGAGTTTCCCCCGAGCTCCCTGGAGTCCTCCTCTCTCTGTCCTCATTTATGTCCCACCTGCATAGCTGACCCACCTCCCACTCCCCCTCCCCCTCCCTCTCTGCTCACCCAGCCTGCCTCCCTCGATGCTCCTTCAATGGCCATCCTCCTGCCTTCACCCAGCGGTACCTCTGCTGGGATGCTCTCCCTCTAGTACCTACTTGGCTCCCTCTGCTCAGCTGTTACCCTCTGGACAGGGCCCATCCTGACCTAATGGGTCCCTCACACTCTGATCCCTTACCTGCAATTCTCTTTTCTACAGCACCTGTCACCTTGAACACACAGCAGGCGTCACCTCCTTACGAAGTGCCACTCATTGTTCGCTCCCTGTGGAAGGAGTGCTGGTGTGGTGGGGACCGTGTCTGCCTCGCCCCTGATGCCTCCCCAGGGCCAGGTCAGAGGCCAGAAGCCCGCAGCAGAGGGCTCTGCAAACCCTCACGAGTGCGTGAACGCCATGGTGCCATCTTTGATGCGACTGCAAACACTGACTTCCCTCACCCTACCGGCCTGTCTGACCCACAGGGCCTGGGGATTCTGGCAGCCCCTCCTCCTGCGTGACTCGCCCTCCTGCCCCGGGCCTTCCCTGTCAAACCCCTCAGCTCAGTAAATAATGCTCCAAAGGTCTTGGCCTTTGAGATGCCCTTCCAGCTACTGCACATTCTTGCATGTTGTGTCTAATGGAGTGGACGGGCCACAGCCTGCATCTCAGGAAACCCACAGCTGCAGCTCCAGGTGGCAGCATCCAGTCTGCACTCCGGCAGGTGGCAGGGCCCAGCCCAGATACCAGCAGTGGCCGGGGCAGCGTGGGGAGAGGCTAGAGGCTGGCCTGGCACATGTCCACTTCTTTCTGGATGACCAGAGGGAAGACATAGGGTGGGCAGTCCCCCAGCATCTGCCAGGCCAGACCCCATGTCAGGGAGGTCACCTGCAAGCCGAGGTCCTGAGCTACTGCCCTGGAGGAACCCCAAGCCAGCCGAGGGGGTTCTGACAGGGCCCCGGGTGGCCTGGCCAGGCAGCAGGGACGGCGACCCTCAGGAGTATTCAGTCACCTCTGTTTCCGCATCTCCGCTGCCCTCGCTTCATCCCTGGAGGCCGCGCTGGCTGGGTCCCTGGGCTGCGGTGCCTTCTCACCTGCTCTTTGTAGGAATATCCACTCATTCTTCCCCTGACCACACGTTGGGCCCTGGTGCCGGGCCTGCATGTTTCCCACCCCATCTGGCCAGTCTCCGGGGCATTGAGGCTCCCAGGGTCTGCTTCCTCCAACCTTGCCAGGGCCTCCCTGCCCTCCTACCCTCCACTCATCTGAAACAGGCCCCTCACCCCTTTACTCACCTTCTGCTGAAGTCCCCTTTCAATCAGTACCTTTGACATGTCCAGTGCTGGCTCCCCAGTAATGGTGACTCTTGGGCCCGGCTGGCACGGCTCAGTGGTTGACTGTCGACCTAGGAACCAGGAGGTAAGAAGTCGATTCCCGGTCAGGGCACATGCCCGGGCTGCGGGCTCCCTCCAGACCTGCTCTTACTGCACTTGGCTCATTGCTTCACCACCACCACTGAGCCCTGACCTCCTGCAGGCCGACCTTGCCCAGGTGGGCGGAGAGGCAGGGAGCCCGCATGCAGGGGTCAGACCGTCCAGGTGACAAGGAGTACTGATGGGGGAGAGTGTGGAGTCGGACACCTTCCTATGCAGGGACTCCCAGAGAAAAAAAAATTGAAGCCTTCTGTTATATAGTACGAGAAGCCTGGTGCATGAATTTGTGCGGGGGGGGGGGGGGGGGGGGGGGTGCGCAGCAGACACTGGATGGATGAGTGGGGAGCAGCCTTACTTTGGGTCACAGCTCACACTGGACAGGAAAGGCACAGATCCTGGCGGTTCCCACTGAGGGGAGGGGACCATGGGGAGCTTTGAGCAGAGCTGAGATGTCCCTGCCTTAACTGGTTCTCTGCCTTAACGGCTCTAAATGAAGGTTCACGGGGCTGCCCCGTGGGGAAACAGGAGAGCAGGGGAGGGGTGAGCATGAGGCTGGTGGGGGAGAGGTTCTGGGGGCCTGGACCTGGGTGGTCAGACTCTGGGAAGATTTGGGAAACTTCCACCCCAGGGACTGCTGATAGAGTGACTGGTGTAGGTAGAGGGAGGAGGAGGTGAGAGTGGAGGGGGAGAGGATGGAGCATGGGTAGCTGGAGGCAGAGCTGAGATTAGATAAAGTGGAGACCATCCCCTAAGATGGCCACTGGTCATGGCTGTCCTTTCGGGCTATTTTTGAGCGACTCTGTGGTGGCCACCACGTCAGCTGCCCCCAGGAGCCAGGAGGCCACGCTGGCCTTGAACTTGGAAGGGCTGGGCTGGTGTTGAAAGGGGCTCTGTCCTCCACGGGGCCTCGGCCCCAGAAGGGCACACAAGGGACTTTGTTCTCCAGCCGGGGCCCAGGAAGACCCCCCTTCAGCCGGGGCCCACGGGCTGTCTGGCAGGACAGGGCGCGTCTCTCAGGACCAAGTGCAGGCCAGGGGGCCTCCCAGAGTCACCATCGGAGGTCAGCCTGCCGGCCCCTTCCCCAGAGGCCCGCGTGGAGGCCGAGCCTGTCTGACTCTCCACACAGACTCACAGCCTGTCAGCGGGTGAGGGACCAGGACAAGAGATGGCACAGAACACGTGCATGGATGGCTCGGAGAGCCCGCGGGAAGAGGTCAGAGGCGCCCCACACCCCCTGCCACCCTCCCCCACCCCTGCACCCCTCAAGCAGGCGGGGGGAGGGGGAGTCAGGGTTTCATTTCTTTCTCTTTCTCTTACACCTTTTTTACTTCCCAGTTGTCAGTATTTCTAATTTTTCTTCAAGGAACATGCTCACTTTGCAATAAATGCAGAGCTAAAAATCAGCAGGCCGGCCCGCTCATCACGCCTGAACCCCAGGTCACCAGCACCTGCTGCCCCGGCCACACACGGTTCCATCAGTTCTGCTCAGACATGTCACAGCTGCCATTTTCAGGGCCCCGGGTCCCCGGAACCCTGGCCCACAGCCCACACTGGCCCAAATGCAGGTCACGTCCTCTCTGAGTCATCTCTGATGACTCCCACTGCTAGGGACAGTCCCACACTCCGCTTGGGCACTGAGGTCCAGCTGGGCCTGCTCGCCCCGCTCTCTTCGTTTCTCCCCCCTGCCCCCCGGCAATAGTTGGCTGAAGATTGTGTGGGTGCTGTTCAAGAGGGCTTCCTTACACTTTGCCGCTTGGCAAAATAAGTTTGTCTGCCCTAGCTGGTTCGACCCAGTGGCTGGAGCATTAGCCTGCAGACTGAAGGGTCCCGGGTTTGATTCTGATCAAGGGCACATGCAGGGTTGCAGGCTCCATCACCTGCATTAGGGGGCGTGCCGGAGGCAGCCAATCAATGATTCTCTCTCATCATTGATCTTTCTATCTCTCCTTCTCCCTTTCTCTCTGAAATGAATAAAAACATATAAAAAATAAAATAAGTTCGTCCTTCAAAGCCCAATTTGCATGTCGCTTCTTCCAGGAAGCCTCCCTGACTGCCTGGAAGAAAAGGAATCCTCCCCATCGAGGTGCGATGGAAGATGGAAGATGTAGGAGTCCACCAGCCATGTTGGGGCCCTGCCCCACCATTTCACCTGGCACTCCATGGGTGAGGATGGGTAGGGGTGGGAGCACATGGAGCTGCCCTCTCCAACATGCTGCATAGATGGGGCAGACGGCGGACGCTACCCGATTGAGAGGCCCGGAGAGTTATTCAATGAGACCATGAAGGGTGCTCCCTGGGGCACTGAGGGAGATGGAGGTGGGGGGGCTAGGTGACGGGTCAGCATGAGAATGTTCAGGTGAGACCTTGGGCAGGGGTAAAGCAAGAGGAAGGGGGGGAGGGGGATCTAGGAACTGTCCTGAGGTGGGAAGAAGTGTCTGTGGATAAAGTGGGTCCTTAGGGAGAAACACAGGAAGGGCCCAAGGTGTGTCCTCAGAAGGTGTCTGCCATGCCTGGGGCTCCAGGCCTGGGCTGTGGAAGTTCAGGAACCCCACCCCCACCCCCCGCCAGGACAGGATCTGGGGAAAGATGGGGCGTTTGTTTTATGCACGTCCAGTGGGGTGTCTGGGTCTGTGAGGAGTTCAAGGGGGCTGAGAAGAACAGATTAATCAGAAAAGTCAGAGCAATAAATGTAAAGGCTTTTATATTAAAACAAAAGGGAGAAGGAATAGACACAGCTCCTTGGCCCCTGCTTGCCGCCCGCCATGGGTAACCCCCAGCATGGTTACATCTGCCCCGTCCGCCATGGGTAACCCCCACGTGGTTACATCTGCCCCGTCCGCCATGGGTAACCCCCACGTGGTTACATCTGCCAGGCTCTGTGCCCTAGGAGCTCACATTCCCAGGGGTCACAGGGCCTGGGGTTTCGGCACATCTTTTTGGGCAGACGGCACGGAACCCCCACTAAACGTACCTGCGAGGGCTGAGCCCGGGGGTGGGGAGACCCCACCCATCAGCGGTCCACTCGTTCTCTCCTGCTGCGGACAAAGTTGCTGCCTTACAACACCCGTCCTCACCTTCCCCGTCCGCACAGCCCCTGGGCTGGGTCCGAGGTGGCGGGAGGCTGTCCCTGGCCGTGTCACCAGGGTTAACCGGGGGCAGGATTCCGGTGGCTCCCGCCGGGGCTGGCAGGTTGGGGCTGGTGGTTGGCGGGAGGCCTCCCGGAGCCTCGGGCTGGCCCAGGTCTGCCTGCTGGCTGGGTTTCCGCCCACGAGGCGATGAGCTCAGCTCTCTCTGCTGCAGCCTCTGGGGAGAGGAGCAGGCCGCCTCCTGTCCCCGGGAGCATTCCTGGCGGATTCCACAGGCGTCTGTGCCGGCGCGGGGTTTCCAGACATACCTGTGGCCGGCAGCGCCCCTTCGGAACGGAACAGTGGAAACACCTGGGAGACCGTCCGCTTTCCTCGCAGGTGCGAAACCACGAAACCGCCCGGCAGGCGCGGCTCCGTGATCGACGTGAACCAGGCGGTCACGGGTTGATTCCCGGTCAGGGCCCAGGTCGGGGTTGCGGGCTCCATCCCCCATAGGGGACAGGCAGGAGGCAGCTGATCAATGTTTCTCATCGTTGATATTTCTATCTCCCTCCCCCTTTCTCTCTGAAATCAATAAAGATATCTTTAAAAAACCAACCAACCATGAAACCTTCTAAACTTGGTGCCTCGAAGGGAGGCAAGCAGATCCCTTGTCAGGAAACCATGACAGGGCACAGATGTAAGACTGCCCAGAGGACACTTGCTGCCCCCCCCCAGGGGGCGGGGTCTGTACTAAAGTTCCAGGTTTCTGACCAGAAGGTCTGAGGCAGGGCCTGATCTCAGCCCTGGGGGTGGGCCTGCCTCCTGGACGCCCAGCGTGGGGCCCCAGAGACCCACCAAGACCCACTCCTCAGGGCCGAGGGGCAGGGCGTGGGGTCCTCCCGGGCTCCCTGGGGGGCCACCCATCACTGTGCTGTCACATAGATGTCCCTACGTGGGAGGGGTGGGGGTGGACGGGAACTCTGCCGCCCTGGAAGCTCTTCTGTGAGGTTGAAACTGTTTCAAAGTAAAAAGTTTAAAAAAAAAATCTTTTGCGCTGGCCAGGTAGCTCTTGTTTGGAGCATCGACCCACACACCAAACGATTTC